TGTTTAATGGAGGGGTTAATGGTAATTTCGGCTATTTCGCAGGGTTTTTAGGGGAAGTGAATGAGTGGCCGAGTGGTGGAGTGTAAGTAAAGCCCGTACTGACTGTGCAACACGCTTTACGTATTTTATTATTATTTTAGGTTTGAGTTTATAATATTTTTAATTTTTATAGAGCTTTAGAGTGGAAAAAGTTATAAATTATATTGCGATTTATTTAATAAATAATATTTTATACAAAAATTATATTATGCTAATTATAAAATAAATATTATAAATTTAAATTCATCATAATGTAAGATTTGTTGGGGACTATTGTAACTTTTGTAAAAATGATTGTAAATTGTTGCGGAGTTTAAAAGCTGGTTACTTCACAGTACAATTTTTTTAAATATAAAAAAATTAATAAACAAATAAAATTATGATTGTTGCTTTTAAAAGCAAAGCTAACAAATAGCTATCTCAAAATGGAGAAATTATTCTTTGTGGAGGCCGGACTTCGTCCGGAGACTAACCAGAATGCCTCACGTCAGCGACATTGAGCTGCGATACCGAGCACAGGAATGGCATGGCGCATTTTAGTTAGTCTCTGGATGGCGTTCGGCATCCACACAGAATAATTAATTCCCAAACTGACGCATAATTCATATATAATATTTCATCATAACCTTTTTTATAGTTATGATTGTGAGCATTTTTAAATATTATTTGAACTAAAGTGTGCTAATTTATATAAATACTATTGGTATTTATATTTTGAAATTCTTCATTTATGTTTAATAAAAAGGCTAATTGCAAAGGACAAAATAAAAAGATAGTATAAATATTTTTTTTTAATTTCTTGAATAATAAAGGTAATGAGATAGACTTATATATATGTATAAAAAATGTTATATTGCTAAGAAAATTATTTAAAAATTTATGTAAAGTAAAAAAAATAATTGGATGGATTATAAATTTGGTTAAATGTATCATATTTTATTAAATTTAAATTTGATTTGTGTAGATATGAAAATAGGTTCAAATGATTTTTTTTTTATTTTAAAATTAATTTTTGAAGTGTAGAGTAGTGTTGACTACAGCTTTGTTGTCACGAGAAGGTGTCCTTTATAAGACTGAATCGTCAGAATCATCTACAGGATTAGCGTCCCTAGCCAGGCTTTAGCTTTACATTAAGGCATTGAGGGGCATAGTGTTTCTTCTTAAATATATGTGAGCCTAATTAGATATTCAAATGCATAAATAAATATTTATAAAATTCAATTGACAGAATAAATATCTTCTAAAATTTTCATGATTTGCCAAAATTATAAATAAATAGGTAATCTTCTAAAATTTTCATGAACCATCGGTCGTTGATGCACATTATCATCACCACTCAACCTCATCTATTGGCCAATGTTGATTCCTATAGTTAGCATAGATCTACACCATTCATTGACCAATGTCAAAGCCAATTGTCACCAAGTTCAATGTTGCTTGTCAACCGTCGCCTAATATCCGCAAAAAACTGAAAAATATCACTCATTATCTGCCAGCTTCTCTCATGCATCTTCCCGATCGCTCAATCTCCTGATCTCCCCAATAATTATTAGAATGATCAAGTTGAACAATCATGGATAACTATCACCCAACTTCTAACATTATATCAATTTGTGCCTCACATCTACTAATATCATCTTCTAATGAGAGTACTTATCTTGTGATGAAAATTGATCGAATAAGAACAAATCAGGCTACAAGAATGGTATAGACAAGTGAGGGTTACTTTAGCTTTGGGCTAACTTCAATTTAAAATATATTTTATTAATTATTAATTATTATTGTTTTATAAATTTTGACTTTAAATTCCCACGTGCTAAAAGTGCATTCTTGCCTCGTTTATCCTCCTTTAGAGTCGATGGGGCGGCTTTAGCCTTTTTTTTTTAAGTGATTGTAAAATTATTGTGGGGAAAGTAGTTTTTTTTTTTAAGTTGTCGTAGAAAGTAGCTTCATAGCACAAAAATTTATAATAAGTAATGAAAAAACAACGGCCAAACAAAAATTGTGGCTGCAATAAAACAGTAAGAAAACTATTATAAACCAAGCCACATCCTTCGTGTGGGACCACTTTCTTACTACTTTCTAAAATAACTTGTTAGTACAAATTTTCTTTTGTACCAAAAAATTACTTTAAAAAACAGTAAGAAAGTCGCTCCAAAAAATTATATACAATTCCGATGAGTCATATAAATATAACAATCCATCTTTCTACTCATGAGTATAAAATAATACCTAGAATATAAAAAGAAACAAAATAACAGTAAAACTAGAGGAATCGTGTAACTAATCAGTCACGCACTCCTGATCTTCTTCCTTTAACTGAAATTATTTTAAACCACATATTATGAGCTAAAAAGTCCAACATGTCACAAAAATCATACAACTAAAATCAAAATACTATAAATAAATAATATACATGTAATCTTTCAGTTTATAATATGAACCATCAATATAATCATGACTATGTACAAAAATAATAAAACACATACTATACGATAAAATATGTGAATTAGTAAACCAATATGATATGGAGGCCAATATAATAGTGAAGTACAAAAACAATAAAATCTATAAATTTGTGAATCATTATGGATGTCAAAATAATAAAGCAACAAACAATCATTCTTATAAATCATACATCACAGTAGTATTATCCAATCAATAAGAAAATCATATAAATTAGTAAAATCAAACTATCATACAATCATATAAGGGTATATACATGATGTTCAATTATTCTATATTAGATCAGTATATTCCATAACATGCTCAATAGTAGTAATCACGAGCTCAATAATAGTAAGTCATTAAACATTAAATAATAACATTAACAGTTATAGTGAATCAACAACAGTAGACCAATAATAATAAAATCTATAGCATAATAATGAAATAGTACTATAACAATAAAGTAGTACAATAATAATAAATCAATGAAATCAATGCATCCCATTAATTCACTAAATAAATAAAGAGCTCTGGCATGCATGATATTTTTTCAGTAATCAATAAATTAATAAATTAGTAATCATGGCTCAGTAAACAAATCGTTACCTTTTACTCGTCGGCATAGTAATCATCTCCATATAACTCTCAATCAGTAAACTACATGAATATGTAGATGATAACATCTGTCAAAACCCAACCCGAAATGACCCGATATCATGCAGGTCATACCATGCCCGATTATGACAATAGAGCCCAAGATCTAATTAGAGAAGTACTAAAACAAACCTTCTAATTTATATACAACACATAGCCACTATTGAATGCAATATAAAGCAGAATACTACTGTATCTCAACATAAGTTTTTATATATCATTCAAAATATATATAATCTGAAGGTTATCTACAAATGGGCTTGACAACAAAAGGGATAACAAAATAAAGCCAACCCTGCAAAAATCAAAACTAACCAAAATATACGTACAATACATACAACACATATTGGATTATAATATCCAAACCATTCTGCTAGCTCTTTACCCTGTCCCTGGCCTGAAAACATAAGCAAAAGCAGGGATTGACTAACATGACTTTGCAGGTTATCGTAGCCTAAAATAGAAATCAATAATTAAAACCAAAAGAAAAGAAAATTGAACTGAATCAAATATTGAAATTGAATAAAATTAAATAAATACTAAAATTAACTGAATTATAAACAAACATTTCATAATGATTATCAGAATAGCTTTCCAGCTTAAATTTGTATATATCTTCATTACCAAAATCTCACCTCGGCACCCACTGGCGCAGGCATAAAAGAATCCTATCTCAATCGTCCACTAGCGCTGGTATCACAACACTTTGGTAAAAAAATCCCACCTCGTTTGCCTACTGGCACTGACATCATAACACCTCAATAACAGTATCCCACATCGGTTGCCACAAAAAAAATCTAATATGGTCTTGCCACATTCATTTGTCGTACCAAATCCATGGCCACCATGAATGCTTTTAAAATCATCTACCTCTCTACTAGCATGTCCGTTTAAATCTCCTCCAATAAAAACTCTTTCTTCAAGAGGTATCTTTTGTATTAATTTTTTTAAATCATTCTAAAAATTTAATTTTGAACTCATATTCAAACCTACATGAGAAGCATAAGCATTTATAATATTAACAATCTTAGCATCAACAACAATCTTTAAAACTATAATTCTATCTCAAATTCTATTAATTTTTATAACATTGTTCTTCAAACTCTTATCTATAATCACACATACATCATTTCTAGTACGACTCATACCCGAATACTAAAATTTAAATCCTAAACTATCAATCTTCTTAGCCTTCTCTCCAACCCATTTAGTTTCATTAATACACAAAATATTTAACTTCTTATGAATCATAATATCTATTAATTCCATTAATTTTTCTGTAAGGGAACCTATATTTCAAGTTCCTATCCTAATTTTAATTTCATGGACTAGCTTCTTTGCCCACATCCGTCCTTCCCCTTGCCTATTTAACACCGCACGCGGGCGCTGATTTAGCGGCCATTGCACACTTGTCACTATATTCAGGTCATACAACGTGTCGCTTCCAGGGGACGCCCTAGCATTAACACAATTTATTAAGGGATTCATGTCATTATTATTCGACAATTTTTCTGTTGGCTGTCGACTACCTAACGCAACCCTCCATTTTTCTCATCCATGACTTGAGAACTGACAACGACAGCGTTATTTGGACATAAATGTAAAATAGGATTAATCTCTGAACTATGTAACATCTTTGTGACTTGTTCAATTTTCTTAAGAATTTTTTTTTCTATTCTTTCATGTTTTGTGTTAATAAGCACTTTCTTTGATTCTACATGATTTCTTCTTAGTTGAACATTCCATCACCAAGTCTTCAACTTCTTTTGGGATGGCTTTCTTACTATTCTTATTTTAATTTTTGCACCAAAAAATTACTTCAAAAAGCAGTAAGAAAACCGTCTCAAACAAAACCTTCATCCTTCAAATTTACCAAGTTTTCATGCAGCAAATAAATTGATATAGATGAGAATGGTCATGGACAATATTTTAGACAAGAAGACACACTACACCCGTAGTCTATACTTAGGTTTCGTTTGGGACGGCTTTATTACTGCTTCATAAAGCAGCTTTCTAGTATAAAAATTAAAAATTTTATACTAAAAAGCTGCTTTAAGAAGCAGAAAGAAAGTCATCCCAAACGAAGTCTTAATCTCGCTTACATGAAAAGGAAAACAAACTGAAACAAATCAAGCTTTCAAAATCCTAAGATAATTGTCAATTATAGACATAGCTGACGACCTGTAGCCATAGCCAAAAAGATTGTAGTGATTCAGATAATGATAGAGCATGTAGATGTCCCTCCTATTTTCAAAACCAGGCTGTTTTGGCATCACCTGCAGGATGCAAAAAAGTATCCCAAGTTGCTTGAAAACAGTGACTTGACAATGTTGCACTGGTACATTTTTCTAAAATAGAACTGATGGTTATTGATTTTTCTTTACAAAAATTACTTTCTGAGATTCATCCAGCGTATTGGACAGCTCTTAACTGTAGGTATTATCAAGTTTGAGAGAAATGATTATGAAATTCAACAATATTACAGCATAGTTTGAGGGTTCAGACTTCTGCTTCGTTTGGGATGACTTTCTTCTTTTTTTTTTTTGATGATTTTCTTACTGTTTCTTAAAGCAACAGTAAGAAGCCATCCCAAACGAAGCCTTCAAGTGATTGTCATAACCATGCAAAAGAATATGAAACAACAATAGTAAGCCTTTATCCCACTATGTGAGGTCAGCTACATAAATCCTTTTTCTCCATTTTGCACAGAAAAAAAGGAAAAATTATTCTGTGCGGACACCGGACACCATCCGGAGGTGAATCAGAGCACGCCATGTCACCCCTTTTTTGTGTATCGCGGCTGTGTACCAGGTGACATGGCACACTCTGATTCGCCTCCGGACGGTCTGGTGTCCACACAAAATAATTTCTCCATGTTAAGAGTCAATTTCTCATCTAAATCTAATAAAGAAAGATTATTTCTAATATTTTATAACCAAGTCTTTTTAGGTCAACCTCTACTTGTCTTAACATAAGTCAAATCTCATACATCTACTTTCCTAACCGAGTCATCGGAAAGCAACCGTTTTACGTGACCAAACCAAGCAGTAAAAGATTTATAGTAAGATAAAATAATACCTGAAAGTAGGAATTGTAAAATGATCCACTAAATCCAGCACACCATGACATTCCAAATTCAGCTTCATTGTGCCCATCTGTCGATTTGAACATTAAAACATAGAAAGCACGAATAGAATTTCTAGCTTACTTTCTCTAGGCATTTAACCAGCTGAGTAATGCAGGTCGTTAATTTCACAAAAGACAAATATCAATGACTTGACTTCAATATCCGTATGTGTTTGTACATGTTGAACATTATAAATCTGAAGATCAGTGTCTTCATCTCACACAAGTTTATAACGTATATCCATCAAGTTTTTTTTTTTGCTAAATAGATCGCTAAATCTTTAACATCAATGGGAATACAACCTAAGTATTAATGCTTACTTGGTACATAAAATTAATTACAGTACTAGTCTTCACATAGTGATATTTTACATTTTTACATAAAGAAAATAAAAAAAAAACATTATAGAAGTTTATTTTTTTTATCATTACCATCATTGCTCTATCCCAACTACGTCGGATCAGCATTGGGAATCCTCATATTCCATTTTTCGTATTACATTGTTTAAATTACTAAATTTATTCTTCTCAAATCATTTTAAACAAATTCTCTTCATGTAACCTTAAGTCAATCATTTTTCCTTCATAATCCTTTAACGCTAATTTTATCTATATATTTAATGGGCACAATTTCTACATTTTGTTGCAAATCCTAAATATTTTCTATTTTCAATTACATTATCTTCAATCGATGCTACTCCAGCCTTTTATCTAAGTTTATTATTCTCTTAATTTTATATGCATCTTAGAGCAACTTAACAGTAAAAGTAATCACATATTTGAACCAAAACTTACAGTAACATGCTGGATCTAATATGACGGGTTCTCCATTCTTATCAGAGCTTATATTCCCACTCCAGAGGTCCCCGTGAAGCAAGCAAGGTTCAATAACAATGCCTTCGAAAAGCGGTTTCATATTCTTGGTTAATTGTCGACCTGCAATTTAGAGTTGAAACAGAATGAATCGAAAAGTGTCTTGTATTCATTATCATGGACTGCAAAATCAATAAATATGCAGGATGTTTTAGAGCCTGGGGTTTTCTAACGCAAATCTGTTATGAGATGTAAAAAATCATGCTACAAGCACACACAATTCTTAAGTCACAAACTCTCAAGTTTTAATATTTATTCAGTAATTTTGATGAAAATCAAAACTATGAAAGAAATCAGCTCTTAAGAAAATTCAGAATCATGAAAACTACATGACAATTTGGATCCATGCACTTATTAAAAATCAGATTGGATCAAATTTAAGTGAAATCAATATCACAATCAATCCAAAAACTAAAATTAGAATACAATAAAAAAACATAAGGTAAAAATTCACCAAAATCAAGAGTGAAGCCTCACTTTTACAATGAAACAACCTTTCCTAAAAATCTCAAATCTCTCACTTGATCAAGAAATTAACTCTCATAAATAGAAGGAATAGCATATCTAACTAGAATTTTATTAAGAATCAAATAGTTTTTTCTTTTAAACATGCAAAGAAACCCCTATTTATAAATTCAGAAAATTGATAAAAGAGTCAACAACAAAACAAAAATATCATAACAGAATCCTGATCGGCGCATGTTTTCATTAAAGCACAATAGGGGCCGAAGTTGAGTTATAGCCATCTCTCACATAGAAGGCAAATTACAACATAAGGAACCTCCCCACAAATCCCAAATAATAGTTATACATCTTGCAATAGAAAACTGAAATTCAAGATGCTTATTGATTGAAATTGAAATGAATTCAGGAATCGTGTCGTATAAGTTAAAAAGTGATTTTTTATTGAGCATTTTGGCATTCCCCTTTTAGGAGTAATTGGACTTTCATTCATAATGTGGAGGGAGGGGCTAAAATAAAAAAAGAAAAAGAGTCTCATTGCTATTGATGGGGACATCAGATCGTGGAAGGTTTATCAAAGAGTCTTTGTATTTTTGAGTCATATGTGTTATTTTATTATTCATGCATTTTATTTATTAAGTATCTTTATGTTTTCCGTTTGTACCCCTTTAATGGGAAGCGTCGTATGTAAGCCCAAAGGGCAAGAGTTTCTTTTATTTCATTGAGTTATTGTAGTTGGCTATTTATAGCCTCTTCTTTCATGTTATTGGGGAATGAATGATTATGAGATATTTTCCTTCACTTGTCTTCTTGGAGCTTCTAAGAGAGCTTGAGAGAGAGAGAGTTAGAGATCTTGGTGGAGCTTAGGAGAGGCCACCCGTCGTGTCCAACAGTCATCACCGGTGGCTCTTGGTTCTCCTCCCTTCCTCCCTTCCTCCCCTCCTCCCCTCTCACTCCCACGGTCCCAGCCCCACCCAAGCCCCTTTTCCTCCTCCCCCAAACCCACGGCCAAGCCCCACCCGAGCCCTTCCTCTCCTCCCAAACCCATGGCTGGAGCCCTCACCCGTGCATTGCCGCCGACCACACATCCTTAGCCGCCGGTTTGCCCATCTTCAACCCATCCCACCTTGTGTTTCCTATTTGGGCCGTAGATAAATTGGGATGGATTTTGAAATTCAAATAAATTCTAAATTGATTTCAAAACCTTCCTAATTTAACTTTTCTATTTTAGGAAAGTATTCATTAAAAGTTTAATTTGAATTTTAAATTCAATTGGATCTTAAAAGAATATTTCCTAATAGTAGAAATCAATTTTGGAAGCCTTAAATCCTCTCAATTAATTGTCTCCCTAGCCCTCATTGCCGCCGGCCCCTCTATTGGAGTCAATTAGGATTTGTTTCCTAATTCTCCAACCCCACTTGGAAATAATTCGAATTCCTTCTCACCCCACTTGGCCGAAATTTCCCAACTACCATAAATCCTCAAATTATTCCTTAACCTATGGAATTGATTTGGGAAATCAACCCATCATCCCTCCTCTACCCGCCGCCCCCTCGATCTCCCTTCTTTCTCTAGCCGCCCCTCCTCTCTATCTCTCCCTCCTTCCCTATAATCTCCTCTCTCTCTCTCAATTAGCTTTCCACTTTTACAAAATCTGAAACAAATTTCAGATTTTTGGTGCTGGCTCTCTTCTCTTGCGATAGGAAGAGAAACTTCTTTCTCTTCGATCATCTTTAAGAACCCTAACAAGGAAAAGGAGATTTAGCATCCGACGCCCATGAATGGCGGATCCGGAAACTGATTACGGCATAACTTGGGACGAAGACGGCTTCGTCGACATCCTATAATCTACTTTCTTCGATGTGAATCCAAGGGATGATCTCACCGTCGAGGATTACTTGGAGCGAACGTTGATCTATTTGGTAGAGGCTATTGACGAACACTTCGAAGGCATTGAGTGGAGGATCTCTACTACCCCTTGATGAAGGTTTCTCTCCCTACTTGCATCTTATCCCTTTTAGTCTAACTCTTCTTGATTTGATTGCAGTCACGACGAGCTCCTCCGCATTGCTCTTGCTTAAGCTTAGTAAACGTAGGATTTGAGCGCACCTCTATGCTTTTCAATTCTCATTGTTATACTAGGGATTATTTTGAAAGCTACTATTATTCATTGTGTTGTTTTCTATTTATTTTGAAAGTTTTCAAAGCTCTCACAATGTGATTTAGCCTAAGCGGATAACCACTAATCGTTTTGATTCATTGTTTGAATTCGCTAGTAATTTTTATTCTAGAATTATTCTAATCATAAGTTGTGCAACATCCATATGAGTTAAAGTGCATTTCATTTACATGGTCCTGCATCAGCTATTCCCCAATTGGGAAGATATCCTATAATATGCATTTCGTATGAGCATAAACAATAGGATGACTCAAGAATTCTGCACGATGAACTTTGTACCGAAGACACCTATACAATTCACAATTCCCATACAGAAGATAAAAGGGAAATAAAGGCGAGAATATGCGAGAATAATAGTTGAAGTTTGATTTGAACCATAAACCACAAGTATAAATCAACATACGAGCCACCAAGTAATTGACTGAGAAACAGTACATCATTTCTATTTGGTTTGGGAAACTTTGGCTAAGATGAATTGTTCATTTGATATTTATCAAGCAAATATGAATATAACTACCCTAATTCTTGTAGAAAATCGATGAATCATCAGGTTTTTATTCTATCTTCCCATCTTATAAGGTATCTTTGATAACTAACATCAATAGAGAATATGATTCCATCTCCGATAATAGCTTTAGGAATAAGAAGAAAATGAAAATATAAAAATTGTGCACACTGTGTTGGATGTGAATACGAATGAGGAAAAGAGAGAAGTATTTGAGGAAATGTTTGATGATTTATAAGAAAGTTAAATCAGAAAATATTAAAATCAAATTGATGCCTGAATTTTTGGGATTTCAATACTTCATATGGTTTCTTTTTTCTTACAATTAATTTCTTGGGGGCTTCTAAAGGAAATCCCGACTTTGAATGGACCATCATCTTATCAACCCTTTTGAATTCCATATATCTGTTGTTCTTAGTTGAAGTAGAATTATAATTGCTAGAATTATAATTTCCATAATTAATAATATGTTTGATGTGAATACTTTCATATAATTCATCGTATGACTAATTGATAATGCAATATGATATGATGCCAGCCACTTTATTATTATTTTTTTATATGCTAGCCACTTATATGCTTCCTAATACACTATAAATAAATCCTAGAACAAAATAAACTTATAATTTATATCTATTAGGTTCCATAAAATTTTTCTTTTGATAATTAGCAAAACACACAAATATCATATGTCTATGTATATCACGTCATAATTTTATATGGCATCTCTTCCCAATTGAAGTAGACATTTTCAGAATTAATATTATGTTTCTTATGAATGCTTCATAAATATAACAAATGAATCATGTAATATGATGTGATGCTAAACTACTTATATGCTTCCTAATACAACAAAAGTAAATCCAAGAGAAGTAGCTAACAAATTGGACTTAAGATTTATATTTATTTATTTATTTATTTGGACAATTAACCAACAACACAAGTATCATATATCTATCACATAGATGGACAACCACTTAAAAAAATATCTAACTGATTTAAAGGTCAATCGTGATGAATAATATACCCTTGGATTTGATCAAATATATGGGTTATAAATTTGTAAGTATTTTTAAGGAAATTAACATTAACAAATCTATGAGTGTATTGATGTATGTTTATTTTCTCAATAAGATTCTTTTGATAAATATGAAAGTTACGAAGCCAAGAACCATAAATAAAATCAATACCAGCGTAACTCATAGATAAAAAAATAATTTTGATGTATAATCATATCATAACAAATTATGCATGTTCAAATCTAACAAAATTAGATGTAGAATCATATTATAACTATAAATCTATTTTTAATCTAATATCTTTAAAGAATATTCATAAACTATAATTTCTTCAACAATATCAGATTTGATCATATTAAATACTTGAGTTGTTATGTGTTTGAGGAGCTTTATATGATATTCTACTACATTTAACATAAAAATATCAAACATAGTAGCAAATTCTAAAGCCCCGCATATAACCTTATTTATTGTTTTTAATGAATTGTAGCTTACTTCATGTTAAATATATTGCCTAAAATATATAATGAAACAGAAATTAATAACATAATAATAAAAAAACAAATAATATTTGAATACAAGACCATTAAACCGTATAAAAATATTCAAACATATTAGTAACCTTATTTAAAGTTCTTGATATGATCACTCAATTGGTCTCTAGAATCACCAAATGACAAATATAATATTTAAAGTTTATGTTTCATCCTAATCATAAAGATTTTATTTTATCACCAACAGTTCACCAAAATAATTAGTCATGTCCTATTATTTTTGTGATAGAAAATTCAAATATTTGAGAATCAAACATATTATATCTTCAGAAAATTTTCTCTAAATTATCTATCCAATTCAAAAATATCTCAACATAAATCCCATTAAATATAAGAATATAATTCTTAACCTCATAAAAGTCATATTAAAATTGTCTAGAATCAT